TGTGGAAAAAGAAATCTAAATGGTACAGCCCTGGCATTCTATGCCTAATAAAATGTGTGGTGGGGTGTTGATCTGGATGGAGAGTTTGTCCAGCCTTTATGCAGAATGGGTCAGCATTTCAGGGCTTCTACCCCACATCCATGTCTTGAAGACTATTTTCAGATCACTTCATAAAAAAAAATCACCCACCGTGAAAGTGATTTCTTAGGCGAGATCTAGCAGCATTAGCATCTCCTCAGCCTCTCCCTGCAGCCCTGGTGGACACTGCCAGCACTAGCCAAGAGCGTGATGGTCATGTGGTGTGCAGTGTTGGCACCCAGCCACTGGTGCAGAGCATGTTTCCAAAGAGGGTTCAAGCTGGAGGTGAGCTGGGAGAACTCCTGAGAGTCCCAGATATGGGGTCTTTCCCCTTTTTTATTTGTAGTTAGAACAAGTAGGAAGCATCAACTCTGATTTTCTTAGTATGAATGGAAATTTACTGTGGTTTTCTTCTCTTTAACCTTTAAAGATCCATGTTTAAATATCATAATAAAAAGTTTTCCTTTATCCTCAAACTCTATCTTTCTGATTCTCCTGTGTTTTTAGGGGCACATAAATTTCCCTTTGTATGTGGAAAGGTGCCAGGAAATAAATAGTAATGATAATATGATTTTACCATAAGAAGAAACAAATAATTAAATTTTCATGCCCTTTAAATATTGGAGAATTGCTTTCCTTTATATTTGAGGTTAGATAAAATCAAGCCAATTGGCCTCAATTCAACAAACAAATATTTATTGAGAACTCAACTTTCTAGCCAACTCGGGGATACAAAGATCAGGAAGACACAGTCCTTGCCCTTGGAGCTCATCTATTAAGGAAAATAAATGAGTGGCAAATAGTTATGTAATACAATATGGCAAACTCTAAAATCACACACACATATTACTATGAGAACAAAGACAAAGAAGCAATATTTCCAGCACAGGGATGAAAGTAAGCTAGTGAGAGGGGCCACATCCCAGCCGTGCCTTCATGGATGTGCAGGAGTTCTCAGGCTAGAGAAATGCTGGAGAAGAAGTGACTGCAGCACTGGGGACCAGAAGGACAGAGTGCAAGGAAAGAGGGAGAAAATGAGCACTTAGATCAGATCATCCAGTTGTACACCTTAAATATATGCAATTAGAACAATAAAACACTTTAGCACAGTGGGAAAAAAAAGGACAAAGAGTAGGGCACTTACATGAAGGAACAACCCAAGGAGGGGCATGAAGACATAGAGCGTGTGGGAAGTCAATGCGATGTGCCCAGAGACTGGGGGAGGGGACCAGAGAGGAGAGCGACCTAGTGGTGAGGCTGGTGCAAATGTGCAGGCTAGCTTTTGAAGATTTGCAGGAGGGGGTCCACATGAAAGAGCGTGGGGATGGTTCTGAAGGCAGTGGGGTTGGAGACGCAGGAAATTTCTAGATGGATGCTGGAAATGATTTGGAAATAGGACTTGGGAACCAAGAAGTGCTGCGGTGTGACGTCAGGAGGGGAGTATTTCTGACGCTTGTAGCTGGGTGAAGACACCGGTGTTAGAGGAGATGGAACAGGGAGCAGCGAAGGTGAAGGAGAGAGAGAGTTTAAACAATGAGTTAGGTTCTGGGTTTGTCTGACTTAAGAAACAGAGAGCCCTGGGAGTCAACGAGAATGGATACACCAAGTTCCTGATTCATCATTAAAATCAGAGTAATAGTCAAAGATTTATCATTACCCAGGCTTGCCTGTGTTTCACAGCTCTCTGTACGATGTCAGTGAGGGTGACACCAACGTCTTCCCTAACAGTGTGCGCTTCGCATCTTTACTGTATCTAATGCTAGAATGACATCATAGAGTCATATGAACCACGTGTTATATTAATACCATAATAATAATTACACATTAATATAATGATCACATTAATGCATGATTAATATAATATAAAATGAATACATAAATGCAATATAAAAAATAAAATTATACATAATAACATGTAGGTCCTCAGGTCTTGATAATTTCATTTTGTTGTTGCATCAGCTATTTTCATAGGTTTTCCCCTTAGAGTTACTTGTATTTTTCTTACAGTTTATATGACTTTTCAAACCTGGGGCAGCACCTTACTTCAGAACTCAGGAATGGGTTGCAAGTGCCTTTTGTGCCATTTTATCAGAATGTTTTATTCTCTGCTCATATGTGTGTGTATTTGATATGTCCATCTGTCAACTTTATAAATAAATGTCTTTTGGGATATTCTAAAACCCTGATACATATGAATAGAGGTTACTCATCAAAAATATTCATTTAAAAAATTTCAAATTTTACAACATCAACTTCCATGTATTAACAATCAGCTTTTACCTTATTGGACCTCACTGTGAAATTCATATGTTCCAAGGCTACATGGCATCAGTCACTGTATTTGACTGGAAGTCCAGCATGGGAAGCGTGGTGGCAGGTGCATTTACCTTAACCATGGCTTTTGGAAAGGATGCCATTGTTTGGATACGCAGGTTTGGGTCTTGTGTATTCTACCTGATAATCAAATAAAAATGCTGAACAAAAGCATCTCCTCCATTCTTCATCTGACTTCCTAAAAGAATTAGTGCCCAGCTGAATAAGGATTCCCTCTGTTTGCACAAAATGCAGCTTTTTCATAAGCAAAGCCTGGATACTTTTAGCAGCAGCTCTTTAGGATTCCACCAGTTAGTAGGGGTTCTTGCACAAAAGGTTGTTTAATTCACACCTGGAGATAAAGAAAGAGAAAGGTGTAAATCTTTCCTGCCATGTGTTGTGAGAAGAGACAGAAGGGGCCTTTGGTGTGGGGCATAAAGATTATTACTAGGGATTGTAAGATGCGTTTCAGTGACCCTAACACATTTGTCACGGATTCATCTCTGTTGAGTTCTTGACACTTGTGGTGGGCTTTGCATCTGGGGGCTTATTTTTTTCTCTATTTTTCAAAATGAAAATGGTCTTGATACTCTTATTATGAAAACCAGACTTTCTCACTGAGAAAAAATTTAAAATACTGAAAATAGAAAGCAGAAAGTAATAATTACAGCAAAACCTCATCACTCAAAACTCCTGCAATCAAAATACCCTTCAAGATTTTTTCTATTCCTATATGAACGATGTTATAAAAAAAATTAGATCATACCATATGGTTTCTGTACCATGCTATCTCATTCAGTAATCTCAATTCAATAACCTAACCTTATCAATGAATATAGAGCAACATCGCCATTTTTCACTGGCTGTATAGATTTTTATAGAGCTTTACCAGGATTTACTATTACAAATATTGTTATTATAAATAGTCTTGTACACAGATCTTTGTACACCTTTCTGATTATTTCTTTCTAAAACTGTCTCATTAAATGTTGAATAAATACAAGAGTAACACATTGTACAAAAATATGAAGAATAAATTCTCTGTTAGTGTGGAAGTTATGGACTATTTCTATCCTTTTATTGGTTATCCTAGAAATTGGTTAGCATCCTTTTTTAATTAAGCCTAAAATTAGTATATTTATCCTCCTCTCAATCAAACACTCATAGGTAACTTTTTAACTATAGTCCCATCCCTCCTGGAATTTTGGTACTTTAAATTTATGTTGTTTTTCTTTTCTAACCCCACAATGAGACAATTTTTGTTTTATACCCTAATGCCTATTTTGATTTGCCTATACATTTGACTCATTCTTTCCCACACCTCAAACCTTCCATCCGAATAATTATTCTCCTTTTGGAAGTATATCCTCTAGAATTTTCTTCACTGCCTTATTTTGCCCTCCTTTTTTGAAGAATGGCTTTATTGAGGTATAATTTGCCTATCTTAAATTCATTCATTTTAAGTGGAAAATTTAATGAATTTTAATAAGTTTACAGACCATCACTACAATCTAATTTTAGAAAATTTCCATCACCCCCAAAAAGAATCCTTGTGCCCATTTGTAATCAGTTCCCACTTTGATACCCAGCCTCAGGCAACCACTAGTTTTTTGTCTGTCTCTAACAATTTGCCTTTTCTGGACATTTCCTGTAACTGGATTTATATACTATGTGATCTTTTGTGTATCGATTCTTTTACTTAGCATAATGTTTTTGAAGTTCACCCAAGTTGTATCATGTATCAGTATTTCACTGCTTTTTATTGCCAAATAATATTCCAAGATGTGAATATACCACATTTTGTTTATCTATTCACCGATTGATGGACATATTTGTGTTATTTCCACTTTTTGGCTATTATGAATAATGCTGCTGTGGACATTCATGTACCAGTCTTTGTGCAGACATTGTGTTTCTATTTCTCTTGTATAGATAATTAGAAATGTAATTATTGGGTCATATGATATGGTTAATATATTTTTAACATTTTAAGAAACTACCAAACTGTTTTCCAAAGTGGCTGCACTATTTTACATACCCTCCAGCAATTTATGAATGTTCAAAGTTTTCTCCACATCTTTGTCAACACTTGTTATTGTCTGTTTCTTCATTATAACCATCTTGTAGGTATGAGGTGGTATCTCATTATGGTTATAATTTTCATTTTCCTGATAAATAATGGACACCTGTTCATGTGCTTATTGATCACTAATATAGTATCTTTGCTAAACTATCTATTCAAATCTTTTGTCTTGCTCTCATTTTGAAAAGATAATTTTGCTTAGTACACAGTTCTAGGTTTATGGTTATTTTGTCTTAGCACATATAAAACAACTGTTTCTTTCTGGCTTTCATTGCTGCTGTTGAGGAATTGGCTATCAGTCTAATCATCATTTCTTTCTAGATAATCTGTTTCTCTGCTTTTAACATACCTACTTTGGTTTTGGTGTTTTACAGTTTCCCTGTGGAAATGTCTGCATACGGGTTTCTATTTGTTTTTTAATTTTTTAGAATTTATTTGTTTGGTTGTCCTTTTTAGGGTGCATTGAGTTTCCTGAACTTGAGGATTTCAGATCTTTCACCAATTCTCAGTTCACTCTTTTGATCAGGTACCAGAGTAACACTGCTTCTGCTGTCCTTGAAACAATTACGAACATCCAGCCCAAAGAGAGCGGAGGTGGCGTGGGAGAGACCCGGGAAGCCACAGTTTACAGACTGGCCGAAGACATGCTCAGCAAACTGCCTCCGGATTACGTCCCGCATGAGGTGAGCCGCGGCCGTCCCCGGTGGGCAGCGCTGTGCTCGGCCCGCAGAGCCCGGCGCAGTCCCGGGGCGGCGCGTTGCGGCCCCTCCCCTTCTCTCCTGGTTCCTTCGTCCTTCGCAGCTCTTTCTTTTTACCTTTTTGGTCTTGTCTTCCTTACGCTTTATCAGACATCGCTCAGATCAGGCCCTGCATTTTTTCTGACACCTTCTCCGTTCCCCTCCTCCTCCAGTGCTCTCGGGTCTTTGATCCTTTTCTCTATCTGTTCAGCCTTCCATCCGCAGACATCCTCACCTGCCAGGCTCAACATTTCCCCGCAGCTCTCCTACCCAAGCTGCCTTGTCCATTCTCTAAACTCGCCCCTGTTTCTGTCTCCTGCCCACCCCTACCCACCACTTTTCAATCTCTCTGTCTTCTCTGCCAGGTCAGAGGAAAGCAAGCCATTTAAGTGAACTCACTGCCCAGTTTGGACGGCAGTAATCTACTTGAACCTCCCAGGTGTTTACTAGTTAATGTGAATCAGTTTTTTCTCAAAACTTTTAATCTCAAGACCCCTTTACAAAATGATTGAGGACCCCAAAGCTTTTGTTTATGTAGGTTATAACTACTGATGTTTACAATATTAGAGATTCAAACTAAGAAGTCTCAAAAATATTTATGAATTTATTGTAAAGTAACAGTAATAACCCCATTACATATTAACATAAAAAGCATTTTTATTTTAAAATTTAAGTATACTTTCCAAGACAAAAAATGTCATTGACAAGAGTGGGATTGTTGTACATTTTTGCATATCTTGTTAACGTCTGGTTTAATAGAAGACAGCTGGATTCTCATATCTGCTTCTGCAGTCTGTGGAGATATCACATCATGCAGCCTCTGGAAAACTCCACCATATGCTCCTGAGGGAAGGAGAGTAAAGAGGCAAATAATTATCTTAGTATAACTATGAAAAAAGTTTAACCTGTGGACGCAGGATCTCCGGGACCTTTAGGAGGCCCAGACCACATTTTGAGAACTGCTGATATAAAGAAGTCTTTAAGTGAGATTAAATTTCTGGTCTGAAAGTTCTGTGAGAGATCCTCCAGCTTAGCCTTCTTGTTGATGCGAGAAGACAGGGTTGTGTCCTGTGGTCATGCAGGGCCTCCTTTCTCCTCTTTCAGCCTCCATTCCTGGTCAGAGCTTCACCTGAGTCCTAGGGTGGACTCAATCAAGTTTAGCTTTTCAACCAAAAAGTGAGAGGCTGATGCTCCAATGAGGGTGTAATTGTGGTCCTATGTCTACCCTATCCTACGTCCCCAAATCTGGGAAAGAAGCACCGTCAGCTGGGAGCCCATAGGCTACCTGGGCTACAGGCCTCCCACGTACAGTAACAAACATTGTCCAATAACGACAAACATTTCCTTGCCTCCTGAAATAATACTTTATTCAGATGTATAGATGGGTACCCAGACATTTGGCCAGGATACTGTGAAATTAATGTCTTCACATAGAGATAGTTATAGTAAGGGGAGAAAATATTTTTTTAATGGATAAATATTGTTAAGAACATACTTTTAATGACTCATCAGTGATCTTCGGAAGATGGATGAGGCATTTAATACCTGCCTCCAAAGCTTTTAAAAACTGGCATGCAAAAGTGAGATACGACATACTCTGTATGATTAGACCACAGGTTGCTATTACCAGAGGAGGGTTTCAAGACCTTGAGATAATTTGAGCTTCCAGGGCTTGTCAGGCCACTTCACCAAGATGTGTCCGGCGCTCTCCTGGTAGGAACTGCATGTGAGTGATGTCGCTAACTGAGTTGCAGTATGGGAGGGACTTGAGACATCTAAAACTGCTCCCTCTTCCAAGATCACTTACTTTTTAGTGGTCTTTATTTTTTAGAAGAAATGTGTTTTTGAAAATGTGGAGGTAAAGTGAATTTTATAAATTGAAATATAATTATGCTATTGACTTCCATAAGTCAAAACAGAGCCACAATACTGTAGAAGAGACTACCTGGTCTCAGAAACATAATGAAAATCCTGAGAACACTCCTAGTCTGGCATCTCTTCGATTTTGGCAAGGAAAATGTTCAAATCTCTTTAGGAGTTCTTGCCGGTAATCGTAGTCAATCTCTTCTTGGGCATATGTCACCAAATTGAAATGTGTATGTGTGTTGGCTTATTTTCCAATAATTGTTGTATTTTATTGTTCCCACAAGCAGATGCTTCTATATCGATCTCATCAAAATGGTCAATAATTGATATACCAAAAGGAACAGCTGACAGGTGCTTAATGGCTTCCTGACAAAGTCAAATATTTTCATTGAGTAGATTAGGAAAGACTCTTTAGTCACCCCAGCCAAGGCAGCAATGATCTTAGGAAACTGTCACCAATCATATTCACTGGTAACTGTTCTGTAAAGATTTTGGCTGTATTAACTTTCTGTGACATTTTTTCTAATAACTTTGCAAGCATTGTGAAAACAGCATTCCAAAGTATACTCTTTGAAAGGTTGGATTACAAAAGAATATTTAACTGACACTTATTACTTAGTCATTTGAAAGGGGGAAAAGGTACAACTTCATTTCAGCTTTTTAAAGTACATTTCTAATTATCAAATAAGTACAATCAGTAGGAAATAGTGCTGGCTGAGCAGTAGTTTTTGAAGCCTAGAAAATGGGGAATTTAATAGCAAGTTTGGTTCTGCAAGAGATATTTTAGAGTTCCTTTGGGCCTGGTAGAGGCACATCCAGAGGAAGAAAAAGAATAGAGAAAGGAGAGGTCGTTGGAAGACGAGTGACAGATGCTTGTTTAACACTATGGTATTACATGCTTTATTTTTAGGTGAAAGCTCGTTTGATAAAGATGGGACATCTTAATTCAATGAACATATTTCTTAGACAAGAAATTGACAGAATGCAGAAAGTCATTTCATTACTCCGCAATAGCCTGAGCGATCTCAAATTGGCCATTGAAGGCACAATTATAATGAGTGAGGTGAGCTATGATCTCGGTGGTCATTTCCGTCTTCTGTTGATTTTTCTTATTCTCATATTTTAACTTTTTGTTTTTCAGAACTTGAGAGATGCCCTAGACAACATGTACGATGCTCGTATACCTCAGATCTGGAAAAGGGTGTCCTGGGATTCATCCACACTGGGCTTCTGGTTTACTGAACTCTTGGAAAGAAATGCTCAGTTTTCTACTTGGATATTTGAAGGGAGGCCCAGTGTGTTTTGGATGACTGGTTTCTTTAATCCCCAAGGTATGTGCTCATAGGAGAGTGGGCAAACCTGGAAGATGTGGGTAGTTTTGGAAGAGCCCTGTGCAGTTAATATATATTACATAAAGCAATACAGAGGTATGGCTTGCTGGATGTTGGACATCTGCTTCCAAAGGCTGGAGACCACAGATGATACTTCTGTATTTGTGTTACAAATTCAATGTGGAATTCTTCCTGCCATATTGCCACCACAATATGGTAGCAAAATCTTCCATTTTTCATCTCACCCTCTGCAACAAGGCATCAGTCTGTGGTCAGGACACGTGAAATAGTAAAAAAGTTTTGCTCAAACCTTAGGGTTTTTTTTTTATAATTATTATTTCATTAGTATGTTTTATTAAAGTTCATTGATATACAATCTTATGTTGGTTTCAAATATACAACACAGTGGTTCAATAATTACCCATATTATTAAATCCCTCTACTGCATCAAACCTTAGTTTTTAAATGTTTTTGAAAATGGCAAAAACGAAGCACCAAAATATGCAAAAATTTTTCCTAGAGTTCAGAAAGTTAGACTGATTTCCAGAATGATCCTGTGGCAAAAGTTTATTTGGTAAACTTCCAAAATGTACCTCCTTCTGTATTTTTCCCCCTGAAAAAGTGTTTTGCAATTCTGCTGCATTTATTCCTTCACTTTAGAAATATTTACTGAGTAAGTTATTGTCGACATAACAATGTGTACTTCCTATACTTTGGTAAACTCATAAAAACCACCATGGTTAGTGTTTTAAATTTAGAGTATGTGGAGTTCACGGAGCTCATAAAGTTCAGAAACATGACAACGTTTTGTCTCACTACGATATAGATAGTTTTACTTAAGTGATTATTGGTCAAAATGAAAAGATGTTGGATTCCTTAGAGTTCAGTAAGTTCAGAAAGTTCACTGGTAATACAGTTTAAGAAGCATTCACACTTACAGATTTAGGATGGGTTATTGGAGCTCCAAACGATGGTTGAATCTCATAAAATAATGTTACCTGAAGGAAGTCAAACAGAACACATTGTAATATATGTATATCGTACACATTGCAATGTATTTATATCATATGTATACTGTATGACTCCACTTAGACAAAGAATGAAAGCAGGCCAAACAGATCCATGGTGTTAAAAGTCAGGATAGCGGTTCCCCTTGAGAGCGAAGGTAGGTAGGGATTGCAGAACACAAGGGGGCCTCTGGAGGTCTGGGAATTTCCCTTTCTTGATCTGGATATTAGTTACATGGCTGTATTATCTTGATGAAAATTCATTGAGCTGTACACTGACTTGTGAACTTCCCTTTGTACAAAAAATACTTCAGCAAATAGTATACCTTAAAATCATACATTTTATTGTCCTCTGTGTGCATACATTCACTTGGTGCCTTTTCAAATACCTTAACATTTTCTAAATGTAAAACGCTAACCATGATGGCTTTTATGAACTTACTGAATTATATAATTATTATGTCAATAGACTTTAGATTTGTGACGGACAGCCTCCAGATTTCATTCATCTATTTTTCTCCCAGATTTTCCATTGAATTTGGGAAGAATATTTTTTATTATGGTCCTTAGATTTGTGTGTCTACTTATGAGTCTCCTTCCTCCAAACTAGCCTTCAATTTAAGTAAGATGTCACCACGTAATTCCTGGCTTGGGAGCCTGAAGAAATAACATTTAACTTAATTAGGAATTGTTTCACCGCCTTCTGTTTGCCAGCCCCTCTGCTGGGTGCTTTCAATAGAGAGATTTGAGATCTGATTCCTTCCCTAAAGGAGCCCATAATCTGGTTGGTAAGACAGACATATCAGCAACTCTAACATAATGTGATAAGTGCTCCACCCAAGTGAGAACTAAGTGCCCCACTCCTACGGAGGGCAGAGGGCTGAATTCTCCCGAGGCAGAGCTTCACAGAGGAAGCAGTGAGTAGGGTTTGCAAGGTCAGGACTCAAGAAAAGGGCATTCCTGGCAGAGGCCTGACAGAGAGAAGGCATGTTCACGGGAAGACCAGTGTGGCTGGAGCTCATGAAGCAAAAGCAGGGGTTGTAGGGAGTGAGGCTGGAGTGTGAAGTCTTCCAGGGGAGCTTGGGCTGCATCGTAAATGCAATGGGAAATCACCAAAGATCAGAAGAGAATCCCAAAGAAGTAGAGGGTAGGCTGGAATACGGAGGTCCAGAGCAAAGGGACTCTTACCAGGTCCAAGGGAGAGGAGGGGTGCAGAGGAGGAGACAGACGGGATGGGGTGGTGAAATGGGGATGTTTGAGAGAGGAAGGCATGGTGAGGGCTGAGGCAGAGACGAGGTACGAGACAGGCGCACTGGGAGGGGGGCAGGGCAGGAGAACAAGGAGCACTGTGCTGTCATCTTGTGCTGGCAGGACCACCGGGTAGAGAGCTGTGTTGGCAGACTTGGAGTTCAGGAGAGGGGTAAGGATCAGTGATTTTAAAAACTGGTAATTAGGTGTATTTCTGATATTCAGAAACCAGAGGAACGGGCTTGGCTTATCCCTGGCTTTCCAAAGATACAGAGGAGTAAGTCATGTAATCACCAAATCAAATCTCTTTCACCAATGCCTTTTACTGTCATTAAAAACATGACTTCAAATAGCAAAGTATCAATATGGACTAATCTTTGTTATTACTTGTTTCTAAATGTTACAAACCAGAACAACATTTAAAGAAATACAAATGCAGGTGTACATTTCAGTTTTTTTACTTGTCTTTGCTTATCTTAGTTGGTAATACTAATCTCTTCTCTTTTCTTCTTTTCTGTTTCCAAATTAAACTTGATTCTTTCTTTCATGGCTCTCCATGTCTTGGAGAAGCCCAGGACTTACTCAAGCATCCCTCCTTTACACACAAACACATGGACACACACCCTTTAGCTACAGTGTTCTCTGTTTGTAGCATAGGAAAGCAGAGGTCAACTTTCCCTGCATACTAATCACTTCTCTTTGCCCTTTTCCTTCTCTTGACATGGGAGACAAATTACTTTCTGTTCCATATCACCTGACCAGATCTGGAAAATAAAAAAATTGCAGCAGCTCCATGAATGTTCACAGGTAGTGTGCAAGCAGATAAAAGTCCTTCCCAATTAGAAGCCTTTCTGGCCACTATTTGACATCAACAATTGATTTCTCAACATGAATGTATCTCCTGGATTTTATATCTTCTTACCCAGCCCCCTTAGATAAAATAATTTCTTTCTTTGGCTCAAAACATTGAAGTAAGTGTTTTTAAATTACAAACACCATATGTTTAAGTAAAATACAATGCAGTTTGCAAAGATGCTGTCACTTCATCACAAATATGTAGTCAAAATCACCTAGACTATAAAACCGTTGAAAAAAAAGTTTTCACATATGGCCATTGTTTTGTGCTTCTATAATGTGACGTGGCTTCCGATACTGTCTGATGTATGTCTCCCATCGTGCCTGTGGTGCTTGCTGTCCAGGCCTAAGTGACTTTGAGGACCACACTGCCACGAGGACAGGTGACAAACCTCATCTTCCCCTGAGCTGCATCTGAGCTCCTGCTTTTTGCAGCACTGCCCTGTTGCCTCATAGTGGCCAAATATTTTGTCAGTCATAGTTGATGGAAGAGGCTGAGTCAGCCACCCTGGAGCTAGTCTGGTATTTTCAGCCCCCTTCACAATCGTTTTGGTAGTAATGGATGAGGTCAACCTTGTGGCAATCAGATTTGATTATTAAAATGGTCAAGCTCTTTATACCCATAACCATAATATTTGTTCAATGGCACAGCTTTGCTGGTGCCTGGATTTGCCCCCATTGGGCTACTCAGGCCAGGAGAACCTTTGTACTCCACTGGCTTTTCTTAGAAGCCATTGGTACACATATTCATGTATTGCGTAAATTGGGCTTCTCAGGGTTTTTAAAGGATTCATTTGGCCGCTGGTTCCCACAGGTGCACCTTTTCAGAGCATCATGTACACATGATTTAGATTCTAATTTGTGTGTGTGTCAGGGTGTCTGTGTCTGTTTCATAGAGTGTGATGTGTTTAATTCAAAGACCATGAGTTGTAATGAGCCTGATTTCAAGCCTGAGTACTGACTGCCTTTCAGAACCTCTTAATTGATAGCCGTGCTTTGCCATTTGATGTCAGGTGTGACTCATAGGTCCTGAGCTGCTAATGAAACTGAGGTAGATGCTGAATGTGCTCACTGGGCCTCACACCTCCGTGTTAGATTGAATCAGGCAGTATCATTATTTTCCAATTGTTCAACTCAGTCTAGAGCTTCATGATATTTGGATACCAAACTGTGCTAGATTTTTCTCTGTTATTCTGTTTTTGGCTTTTTTTCTCAGTGTCTTGGCAAGCCACACCGACTGTCATAATAGACATCAGTGACAACTTATTAGTCCCTAATACAAATAAAGATCCCCAAGGGATGGATCATTTTTGTCCTGTTATCTTTTGTTACTGTAACAATCATCTCTGACCTCCTACCTATGTATTTGTTTTCAGGACGACATCATCAGCCAGCAGCAATTTCTGAAAGCTTGTTTTGAGGATACTTAGGAAAGCCTCATGTTTCTTGTGCACCAAAAGGGTTGCTAGAACTTTAGGGTTCAAAGGACTGGGGGATTTCTTCTAAACTAGTAGCAATCCTAGCATGCCCCACAGCTACCATTTGGCAAATCAAAGCTGCCATTAATGTCTGAGGGAATCCGGACCAATGGACCTCAAACTTCTAAACCTCAATCTGAGCGATGTCACTTACCTGCCCCATTCCCAAATCACAGAATGATAAAAGGACTTTGGACACCTTAGAAATGCCTCCAGAGTGAATAACAGGCTGTCCTCCTTGCTTTTCTGGATGAGGGGCTTAGATGCACTGGGATTGCTTATAACCACATCCTTTATGATTTTAGTCTCTGCACGTGGTCACCTTCCTTACCAACCATCTAGTCCTTTGTAACCTGGTCGGTTTCATCACTACACTGAAATGGTTCTCTCCAAGGTCACCAAATCTAGTGGC